GCAGAGGACCTGGGTTCAATTCCCAGCACCCACATAGCAGCTATGAACTGTCCTTAACTCCAGTTCCAGGGGAATCCAAAGCCCTCTTCTGACCTCCGCGGCATCGCACAACACGGGTGCACTCACATACATGCAGGCAATACACTCATACACACAAAATTAAAATAATAAACAAAATCTTTTAAAAATGTTTTATTACATTTATCTATTCATTGTGTTTGTATATGTGTGTCTCTGTGTGTATATCTGTGTCTGTGTGTGTGCACGCATGTGCATGCCACAGCCCATGTGTGCAGGTCTGAAGGCAACTTGTTAGAGTTGATTCTTTCCCTCCACCATGTGGGTCAAGTGGATCACACTCAAGTTATAAGGCTTGGCAGCAAGTGCCTTAACCCATCATGTTCTTGGCCCCAAGATTGTTTATTTGGGAGACTGTGTGTGGTTACTGTGATGCCTACATGTGTGCATATGACTCTGGGGACATCTGGGTATGGCTTCCAGGTGACCGTCCTTTGTACTAAGGCTGCATGATGCTGCCTGTGCCCAACCCTCTCATGCACACTGTTCAATGTGGTGGGTCTGGGACAGAGGGTCTTTTTAAAATTTTTTTAAATTTTTATGTGTGTGTATTGCCTGCATGTAGGTAAGTGCACCTGTGCCGTGCAATGCCCGTGGAGGACAGAAGAGGCTGTCGGATCCCCCGGAACTGTAATTACAGACAGTTGTTAGCTGCCATGTGGGTGCTGGGATTCAAACCCAGGTCTTCTGCAAGAACAGCCAGTGTTCTTAACTGCTGAGCCATCTCTCCAGCCCTGGGTCTTTTGTTTTTATCATGTGCATGTTTATATGTATTTGCATGTATCCACTTGAACTCAGAGCTTACCATGCAGCTAGCCTAGGTGCAGTTTGCTCCAGGTTATCTCCTATTTCCGCCTTCCAAGTGCTGAGACTACCGACAGGTAGCCACACTCACGCAGCATTTATGTGCGAATCCATACTCCGTTATCATCCTGCATGGCAAGTGCTTTACCCACTGGGCCATCTTTCCAACTCCAATATAGGGGCTGTAAGGCTGTCCTGTGAAATGGTGTGTGGATGTACCCCAGGTTCTGAACTAATGCCTGTCTCTGTCATCACATTGTGCTGTGACCAGGTGTGTTGACAGCATGACCATCTGAGTGTGGCCTCTGTGTGACTTTTCCCCAAAGTCTCACTGCTCCCCATCTATATAGCTGCAGCAAGTTGAGAGCCTGCAGCCACTACATGCACAGCTGTTGTCTGGTGTTCCGATCTGAAGTTTGTGCTGCTTTAGCGAGCCAGTATTTTTACTTCAAAGTTTATGTGGATGAATCTGAGGCTGTGAAGCTGCTGGATGGCACTGTATGTGTGTCCATGCTTGCAGGGTCTGATGACTATATGGCACAAGGGCCTCGTGGTTAGTCACTGTTCAAGTGTGGCCATATCTAAGTTAGTGCAGCAGTGTCTGGGGGCTGTTTGGCTGTATTGGAGTCATCTACATGTGGCAATGTATGTGTGCTGTGTTACTCTAACTCTGGAACACCAACGCTAGTGTCTGCTGCTGACTCATGGCTGGGGCTTGTTTTAGGATGTACAGGGGCTGTAGGGGCTGTGCTGCAGACTCATGGGAGGCACTTTCAGGATGTGGTGCACACCATGGTCTGTGGAGAAGGAGTGTCTATGCATGAGTTCAGCCAGCTGTGTGTGTGTCTGTGCTGTGGCCCAAATGTATTTCTATGCTGCTGTGTCATGAGCATGTGAGTGCAGTGCACCTTCCGTGGTGGGCTGTGTTTGAGGTTCTGGGGTTCACGTGAAGTGTGCCTTCCTGCTGTGCCCATGTCCAGTTCTAGCTCCCAGGCAGTGCCTGGCATACAGTCGGTGCCCACCTGGTCTGGGAGGCTGGGGCAGGAGGCCATGTAGTCCTCAAGGTCCTCCCTGCAGCTGCCATCCCGATCCTCAATCACCAGGTCTATGGGCATCTTCCCCTTGAGGCAGGTGATGTAGCGGTGACAGAAGTTGTCGCACAGGTCGTGGACCTGGGGGGGCAGCGGGGTACTGGGGGGGCACCCAGGGGAGCCAAGGCTTGGGTGCATGGGGTGGGGCAGCTTTCTGCTTCCACTCCGGTGGGGAGTGGGGAGGGAGAGAGATGAGAGGGGATGGGAGTAGGGCAGGGGTAAGGGAGAAGCCCTCACCTTCTCCAGCTCCAGCAGGTGGAACCGGAGTACCTGGATGGCCTGGACCATCTGCAAACAGGGAGGAGGGAGAAAGGAAAGAAACTAGGTGTGGTGGTGCATGCCTGGAATCCCAGCACTGGAGTCCTAAGGCAGGAGGATCACCCAAGTTTGACGCCAACCTGAGCTACATAATGAATTCCAGGACAGCCCTGGCCACAGGGTAAGACATTGTTTAAAAAAAAAAAAAAAAAAAAAAAAAAGATGGTGGAGAAACATTCTTAAAATAGAATGGCAAAGATGGTGACAGGGACAGAGCCCAGAGAGCAGCTAGGCTGACAGAAAACAGCCGGACATGGTGAATCAGCATTAGAGAAAGAGGAGTTAGAAAAAGAACTGAGTAGTGACTGGGTCCATCACAAGGGGAGATGAGAGGTGCTGTGCAATGCACAGCCTGTACCCTAGACCTGCCTGGCCTCTGCTCTGGTTCCTGCATCCACCTATGAACTACATTTCCCAGAGCCCATTGCCAAAGGGTGTGGCAAATAGTAAAATGCTAGGGTACAAAGAAAGGAGAAAACCAGTCTCTCTCTCTCTCTCTCTCTCTCTCTCTCTCTCTCCTTTGCATTTTACAGATGAGGAATGGGGAGGTGGCACTACCCTCCCTGTCTCCCAGGCCCATGGAGCTGAGATTTGAACTTAGGCCACTGACTCCCATTCTCAAACTCCAGGCTCTGCGATGTCACAAATAGGCCACGATTTTGTGGTTTGAGAATGTGGACTGACTGTTTCCTCTCTGAACCCCTCAGCCAACCCCAGGGACATGGTGGGGCAGGACAAGAGCTGCCTGCAGAGGGGACATGGGGAGGGCCTAATCTCACCAAGTTGTCCAGCTCCGGGTTGGAGGAGAAGAGCGGCCTCTCTGAGCGGATCTGGGAGGGAGAAGAGAGGCCAGGCAAGGCGATTCTGCCATCCGCCCGCCCTTCCTACTGCCTCCCCTGGTGCCCCAGGCAGGGCTGCCCACCTGCTTGGCAAAGGCCGCAATATCTTCGTTGAAGGAATCAGAGGAACAGACATCACCCCCAGGGGGTGAGCCCAGCCCAGCCGAGGCTCCATCACGGGGTGAGCATGTAGCCAGCTCACACTTCTCAAAGACCAGAGCCAACAGTGGGAAGAGGGGGTGTCTGGGGGGACAAGAAAGCAGGCAAACATGAGGGGAGGTGTGGGGTGACTGGCAGGAGACAGGGGATCCAGACACAGGGAGACAAACAGACACAGGGCATGCGTTGAGGGGCCTGCCCTGTCCCCAGACACTCACCCGTAGATCTCATCCTTCTCTCTCTTCAGGCCGTCACTGTCCAAGCCTGAGAGCTGGGGTGGCCGGGGCGGGCCGTAGGGCCCGGAGGCTCGGGGTGCTGGGGGTACTGCCTCTGAGAAGCCGGCCAGGGCTGATGTTGGCTCTGTGATGCCTGGGTAGTGACGCAGATCATCGTACTGGGGGAAGAGATGAGCCCCAGAGAGGCCAGTGTCAGCAGAGCTTAGCCTCCCTAGCCTGGGCCCCACAAGATGCATCATCTGTCTCCAAGGATCCCAGCCTCTGTTTCCTCAAACTCCCAGTGTCCCATGGAACTGTCTAGCTGCTGAGGAATGACAAATATCCTATCATGTGTGGACAGGAGGACCTAAAGGAAGACAGACCCAGGTCAGGGGATGTCTAGGGAGGAGCTGGATGGCTGGTAGCCAAAGGAGAGATGAGGACAGAGAGGTGAGAAGCAGAGAGAAGAGAAGACAGAAGGAGGAAGAGCTTGGAGGAGGAGGACAGGGTCTCACAGGGGGCAGAAAGCAGAGAATTCACAGAATTCACCCACATGTATGCAGCCTCTTCCTGCTCTCTTCACAAACGTGTCAATACACTCTACTTTTGTGGTACTGGGTTCCAAGTCTGTGTGTATCCTAGGCAAGGACTCTACTACTGAGCCATGGGGGGAGCCTAAGCAAGTGCTTTACCACTGAGCCATGCATCCAGCCCTTCAGTGGGGGATTCTAGGCAATTGCTCTACTACTGAGTCATATCTCTGGATCCTCGCTGGTGATTCTAGGCAAATGTTTTCCCTGTTTGTTTTTGAGATGGAATCTCACTCTGCAGGTCAGGTTGGCATGGAACTCATTATGTAGCCCAGGCTGGCCTGGAACTCATGACAATCCTTTTGCTTCGGCCTCAAGAGTGTTGAGATTACAGGTGTGAGCCCCTACCCAGCTAACCACACACCTTTGGATGTTTTAACAACTTTTCTCATTCATCTTGTGAATCTACCATACCCACTCAGTAGAGCATATAGCATTGTGACTTACATCCAGCCTTAGAGTACCTCAATCCAGGAGAGAGAGAGAGAGAGAAAGAGAGAGAGAGAGAGAGAGAGAGAGAGAGAGAGAGAGAGAGAGAGAGAGAGAGCCAGACAGGAAATGAATGAGGCATTTAACACATCATCTGACAACATTCAATAAACATGTGTTGGGGGAAGGGTAACCCCATTCTACTGTGCAGACAGTCCCAAAGAGAAACAAGAACTTGGGGGTAAGGTTTCTGGGTCCCCTTGTCACAGAATCATGCACAGGACAGCAGGAGGGACCTTTCTATCACCAGGTCAAAGACTGCCTTTAGCAACAGGGAGACTGAGCTTCCAAGAGGCAAAGGGCTCACAGGGATGAGGTCGAGGGCCCTGTACCAACCTGGGTGTACTGGGCCACTGAGTCCACCCAGGGATCTGTGTGTCTGTCCCTTTCTTTTCTTCCTCTTGTAACTTCTCCAGTACCCTGAAGTTGAATTCACCTGCAGCTCATCACACACCCAGCAAATGGGGTCTCTGCCTCTTTTGAGGTCCCTGTCCCCAACCCTCTTAAGTGGGTGTACTCAGGGGTCCAGAAAGAAGACAGAGTCGGTTGTGAGATGTTTCTCTCTTGCTGTCCCACTCCTAACCCCAGGGTGGGTCTGAACAACAGAAGCTGGAAGAAGGGCTTGGGGAGGGGAGAAGGGAAGAGGATGGGGTGGAGAGGGAGTAGGGGTAGGGATGGGGGAGAGCAGAGGGCAGAGGGGGGGCACAGTGAGGGAAGAGTGGGAGGGACAGAGGGATAGAGGGAGGGACAGTGAGGAGCAGAGGGGACTCTGAGGGGGCAAAAAGGGATATTTAGGGTCCGAGAGGGGCAGTGAGGGGCATCTGGGAGAGGCTCGGAGGCAGGACGGGCGCGGCCACCTACCCTCCGGGCCATGGGCCGGCGCCGCGCGTCCTGGGCTCGGGCGGTCACGGCCGGGGGCTCATCGCGGCGGGAGGTCCCCGAGGTCCCCGAGGCCCCGCCGGGTGCCGGGTTCTCCGAGTGGCCGAGACCAGCCGATCACGGCCGAGGGCGGCGGCGGCTCCTCTGCTAGCGCCGGGCCGGGCCTGTGTCACATCCGGAAGTTCACGCGGAGACGCTTAACCCACTGTCCGCCGGAGCGGGAGCCTCCCCGCGGCACGGGCCTCCTCCCGCCTGTCCCCTCCCTCCCTCCCTCCTCTTGGGCGTCCCCTCCCGTCCTGTCCCTCCCCTCTCCTCGGAATCCCCTCCTCTCCCTTCTCCCTCTCCTTCCCTCCGGCCTCCCCTCCTGCCCCCTGTCCCGTCCCCTCCCTGTCCCCTCCTCCTGGTCTCTTCTTGAGCTCCAAGCCTCCCCCCACCCTCCCTGTGGCCTTTGTATTTCAGGATCTCAGGGTCCTGGGTCTGAGCTTCCCTGGCCCCCACCCTCCCTCTGTCCTCTCCTATCTCCCTGCCTGTTCTCCCTGGGTCTCCAGCTAGCTTTCTGCCCCCTCTTTCTCTCCTGTCATCCTTGTGTTTCTTGTCTGTCTGCCTGCCTGTCTGTCTGTCTGTCTGTGAGACAGATCAGCGAGCGCATGAGGCAGGAAAGAACCAAAGTCCTGTTTTAGTTTAGTTTTTCTTCTTGCCCTGGCTCTGTCCCCTGCCTCTCTGGGCCTGTATCTGGAGAGAGGAGAGAGAGAGAGAGAGAGAGAGAGAGAGAGAGAGAGAGA